AATGCTAACCTAATACTGCACCGAAATCACTCCTAGCTCCCTTATTACTTATCCTAGCTCCACATCCAACACATTGTTTATGATCGTAAAGACACAGAATCTAACGGTGCCCACCTCTATAAGCACCCACTCGGCTGAAAGAAATGAAAGCATGGCGGAGGGCTTTTTTGATGCATAGGCCTAATGAAGTGGTTAGAAGAATGTTGGGTTTTCTAAGTGCTCACAGTCACTTTTAATTGCGCGGGGGGCATTTTTAATTGGGCCAGGAGGAATAATAGTGGATTTAATCCCTATCATAATGCATATTGTTCACACTTTTTCGTTATGAGTGGAGGAGCGATGCAGATAAACTACAATGCTAACAGTGAATTAGCCCCGAGCTAAAAATGCTAACCTATTACTGCACCGAAATCACTCCTAGCGCCCTTATTACTTATCCTAGCTCCACATCCAACACATTGTTTATGATCGTAAAGACACAGAATCTAACGGTGCCCACCTCTATAAGCAATACAACTGCAATTCCGTTATCTGTGTTATCTGCTGTGCTCCGTGCGCTTTGAAATCTAATCAAAAGTTGTTTACCTCAATTCTTTGGCGTTTCTGCATCGCCCGGCTCTTTCGTTCTTTCAGTGGTTTCTTGTGCTGAAATATGGAGGGGACGGCTCCGGGTTTCAGCCTCCGACGTGCTATTAATGCTTCTCTACCAACAGACTTCATGATAGCAGGATCAACGTCGTATGCATCACACGCGAAGTGGTCAGAACACAACTTGCTCCATTTTGTCGGTTGCCATCCAACACGATTCACTAAAAAAATCCATTTTTTGCGGATGATTTGGTCTTTGGGAAATGCATGTAAAACTCTCCCAGATCCCGCACCGTTCGTACAACAAAAAGCACAACAATAACCCATGTTAATTCAGTTTTCTTTTCGAAAAACATGTGACCGAGACTGCCGAGTCGGGATATTTGGTCCAGAGACTGTTTGGCCACTATTACGTCACGCGCTGCTGGGAATTACATGTCAGAAATTCAGACGGCTTTGGGTCGAGTTTTGGATCAATAAAAAGCTTTTTTTTTGGGTGTATTATCTCGATTTAAATTTTTTTTTTTAAATACAGGCAGTCTTAAAAACAACATTTCTATACAAATGTAGCATATTTGGAAGCTTTGCATTTGATCTTTAAGGAGAAGGGCCTTAATCGCCTCATATTTGCCATGATGTGGGGGGGGCTGCGATGAATCCCAACAACCTGGACGACGCAGAGCTGCCCAGCGCTGCTACCACATGGTAGTATTTCAGGTCCCCATCACGGACCTGTCGGCAGGCGAAGTGTGCCTCCACATGTGCGAACCATGCCTCCGCGGCGTGCTCCCAGAATTCCGGCAGCTTTACGAACACATCGCGTTCAGCCATGCTCGTTAATTTCCCGGAAACTTTCTCGGAAAAGTCAAGGTCACCAGTGTAGTGCCAGGAAAAGGGAGTCGGAGGCGGTGTATTAAGAACAGAGTTCCCATCTTTATTATCCATTAATAACAGAGAGGTTATCGCATGAACTGCTCTGCTTGACGAGCTAGCAGGAATGGAAGCTAACGCTACAGGTGTTCCCACTAAAGGGTCCGTGTGGCAACACAATACGAGAGGTGAATTATGTCCAATAACGTGTCACCACAACGGATACATATGTGACGCTAACTAGCTAGCTGGACATAGGCCTACTGCACTGTTGTTTACACTTATTTTGTATTCAATTCAGAAGTTTACTAAAGTCATACAGAGATCTAGGCTCTGTTATAGATAAGTTATACTTTATATTACATACATAGACCAAAGTGAAAACATTTAGACCGATATTCTTTCACACACAGTGACGTCACGAGTCACCCGCGAAAATACGCCATGTTCCTGGAGGTGCAAAGCTAAACAGCTAGCTAACATAACCAGGCAGAGCGCAATCATTTTTCTATTTCTATTTCTATTCTGAAGAAATCGCTGTAGGCCTATGTCTTCCGATTATATCTCTGGACTTGAGGGGTGTGCTCTCAGTCGTTACCGGCTTAAACTAAAGCTGTGTGGGTTGTATGATTGCCCGTATAGAGTTCCTGCAGATTCATGGTGAAATGACCCTGGAAAGTGGCCTCCGGTGGATTTTGGCAACATCTATGTGTATCTTCTGGAAACACCAGGTGAATACCCCACTTGTCACAATAATATTATCATGCCATTGCATATATGTGGTATTTTAGAGTTGACTAGATATTGATTAAGGCAATAGACTATGATATTCAGTACAGGAAGCTTAGCAACACCAAGACTGTTACAGGATTTTTATTTTGGAAAGTATTTTTTTTTCTTACTTCTCACGTTTTTTATTATATCATAACTTAGTACTTTTTTCTTAACATAGGTAACATTAAGCTGTCTGTGGCTCTTTCCTGCTGTAACGATGCAAATTTCCCCTCTGTGGGACTAATAAAGGTCTGTAATACAGGCCCTGGGCTGTAAACATAACCTCATCATTGGCCATTGATATAATTTGGTACTACCAGCATTGTAGCTATTGTCACTGTGTTAAGCCTTACATTGATGCTTACCAGCTGTCAAATCAAAGGTAGTATATCCTACTATGTTTGATGTTTAATTATAAGGTGACAGTGTATGTTTTACCTTTGTGTTTCAACAAGGTGTCCACACTAGAGAAGCGATGACAAATTACAAAGCACTAGACTCCTACAAGCTGCTGGAATCTGGTTGGGTGCAGACAGTGAGGCATATCATTCCTAATGACACAACCCTCACTGTCCTGAGAGCTGACGTGACACCGTCATTCCGGGTGAATGAACCGCCGCATCATCCATGGGCAGCCGTTACCCAGCGTGGCGATGTGGTTGCTGCTCACTGTGACTGCAAAGCTGGGTATGTAGATTCCAGTATGTAGAAACTAAATGTTTACTATGAACATATTCTGGTTGTATATTGTGTGACAACCCTGTGGTTGTCCACCCGGTGGTGCTGCTGTAACCTGTGTGTTTCTTGTAATCAGCAGTGATGGGACCCACCTGTGGCACTAATTCCAGGATATAAGAGGGCTGCAGAACAGGCTCTCGCTCTCTCTCAGCTGCCCTGCTCGGTGCAGCAGGACACCGCTCCTCTATTCTGTTTTATTGTTGTTGGAATCACTGTGTTGGATAAATAAATGATTGTTTTGGGCAACTCCGGCGTGGAACTGTTGTCCTTATGTTACAAGCAGAGCCAGCTTGTAACAATCATTTATTAGGTAAAGTATCACAGAATCAACATACAAAATATAACATGGTGGTCAACTCTAAATGTAAGCATGTGAACTAGCAACCACACATACAAATTAATTCCTTGTATACAATCCCACCCCCAAGGTTAGTCAAAATTGCACATACCCCAACTATCTTATCTGCACTTGATTTGTCTACCTGATCTGCCTCATCCTTCAGAGATTTAATATGTCGAATCGGCAAAGTGCCTTGCAAAATAACAAAACGGTTTTTCATTAGGCCAATCACACGCTCAATATGAATTCTCACCGATGACAATTTCCTAGAGGATTCAAGGTGTTTGGCTGGTAATTGACACTGCCCTTTAGTGAATGCTGGTGTGAGCAGCTCTACACCAGCAATACCCGCAAACTCTTCCTTCATTGTAAACCCCCTATCCGCTAGAACTTGGTCACCCGGGTGATGGTCACATTTAGTCAAGAATCCGCTTTGATGTACTATTTCCACATTGCTCACCCTCCCACCCCAGGCATCAGACAGAAAACAAATGGCACCAAGTGGGTTACATCCAATAAGAAACTTCATAGTGGTGTGACGCTTATAATTTGACCAGACTTGAGCACGAGCTTTAAGGTTCCCTGGAGATTCAATGAACACTTCAAAACAATCTATGATACAAGTCAGTCTAGGGCAGTGGTTCTCAAACTTTTTTCACTCATGTACCCCGTTTGAAAAAAAAATTCAGCCAAGTACCCCCTGATCAGCGCAAAAACTATTTGTTAAGGAAAAAAAGCCTATATAAAGAGGTACAGTGCAGCGCTGCACCATCAGTGTCTGATTTATTAAAACATCAACCTTCTAACTGAGAAGCACTTAAATGCTACACTTCAAATGTTTACAATCCATCACTAAATTCATGGCAAACCAATTTTAACATCATGCAATAACACTAAGACAACATTAGTTGCATTGAACTGATCTTTTTAATAAATTGTACTTACAATTTAGTGAGAAACATGGACTTGAGCTTCACTGAGGATCTTTGTCATTCTGACAGGGAGGCAAACTGCAGTTTTGAAATATGTGTAACTCTGTTCATATAAAACCCACACTGCTCAAACTTTGTTACTTTTCCTAAAATTGGTATATTTATTTATTTATTTTGGGGCGTGGGGAATGAAGAGAACAAATATAGTAGCATTTTATGAGCATGGGATTTTGACCCCTCATATAAACATATGCATAATGCTGCGCTATACTTTGCGGCCACACGCTTATTGTTTAGGTGTCCTTTGATAAGCAGGCAGTTTTATAATTAACTAGAACTAGCTAGATCTGATAGATTTGGACATAGACGCGAGTGAAGTCTAACCGGACGCGAGAGAGAGATCAGAGATCCGATCAGCTGCTGCTGACGGAGAACACGCAGCCCTGCATGATCACAGCTCCGCCGCTGTGACGGACCGTTGAGCCGAGCAAAAATACACTTAGAGTTAGACCTAACACACTTAGCTAGTTTATCTACTCTGGAACTAGCCTAAACTAGTTATAAATATATTTATTCTTTACAGTTGGGTCACTTATTACAGGTTCAGCGAGCTGCACGAGACTGACGGGCTGTCAGGAGAGGGAGAGGAAAAGAGAGCACCCCGTTTATTTTTCCCATTTTATTATCCAGAATTACTGTAAACCTTTGAATAAAGTAGTTAAACTACTATTAGTAGTTTGTGTAAATGCATGTGTGTATGAATTATACGTTTTTGTATGATTTTAGTAGAATAAATAAAAAAATGTTTTTTTTTTCATTAACATAAAATAAATCTCACGTACCCCCTGCAGTACTCCAACGTACCCCTAGGGGTCCGCGTACCCCCATTTGAGAACCACTGGTCTAGGGTACAGAGCCTTGAATGCAGGTGGAAAATATGCGCTCCCTCTCTGGCCAACTAACACGCTTCAGTTTCACAAAGGCTACATCCATCCACTTCCAAAAATGATCTATGAGCGTGCTCTGATGGATGCCTACCTGGTCTGCCAAATACTCAAACTTCATGCCATGTTTCAACTTCACTATCATATAAAAAAAACTGATCAATGTAGGGGATGGATGGGGTACCTTTGCATATCATCGAAACTAGCAAGAATTGAAAAGTGGCTAGAAAAATGGGCCAAGTTAGTCCGGTGTAATACTGACACTTCTCATTGTTTTCAGCAACAGTGTTAGAAGACAGCCGGATAGAGTTGAGGGTGGCCCTAGCATGGTCCCTCTCAGCAAAAGCAGCATCTCTTTCCGCCCTGAGTGCAGAGATCTCATCAAAGAGCATCTGTTGAGGCACGGAAGGTGGAGACACTGAACTGGTCGACGGTTGAGGCGAATCAGGAGTAGGTTGATGCTGTGGAGGTTCGGAGGATGCAAGGGATGTGTCCTGCACTCCAACAGGGACTGCGTAAGCCACTCTGCACTTGTTTTTTGAGGACCCATTTGCTTTGCCAAGCATCTTCTTGCCATGACGACACATAGCATTCGAGAACCTAATACACACAGACATTACATATACCAGGGGTTAGGGTGGTGCGATTATGGCAAAAATCATAATCACGATTATTTGGGTCAATAATTGATATCACGATTATTAAATACGATTATTCATTGACTTAGAAAAATCAATTTATTGAACTTTAAAACAAATAATAATTTGAACAGTATCTTTTTAACTGTTGTTTACCCTGAACGTATAATTCAACTGAAAAACCAATACAAACATAAATTAAATAAATGATACATTTATATTTATATATATCATTTATATAAAATACAATTAATTGCACAGCCCTACCAGGGGTGATAACTAACACCTACCCACAGCTGGTATGTTATTGTAAAATTGTATACTTCACATCTATCACAACAGTATTACAGTGTTCGATTTAGGCCAGGCATATCATCAGTATATACATGAATTTTCGCAAACCTTCTCAGTTTCTGGCACTTGTCAGCTGTTGGTAGTTTCCCAGGCGTAGCAAAATTGGTCGGGATGTAATCTGGATGGCCAAGCTCCTTGGAAGGCTGCCCTGAAAAACAGATAAGAGCAACCATGATGCTATGCTACCATGCTATGATTCTGCTGTAGAGGAAGGTAAACAGTAGTTTGGTCCAGTCCGGGCTAGCGGCGGACATCAGATTAATCATAAACATAGTAGTTGTTCTGAAATACAACTTCAACTTACCAGAAATGAAGTGTGCCGAGCAGATGTACACATATTGCACGGTGTCCTTGGGTTTCCACGGCTTGTGAGTGATGGGATCGACGCGAGCGCAAGCTCTCGCCCACTGGGCCCTCCGTCCTGGCTGTTTTTCGTGACTGGGGAACTTGAAGAAAGAAAACTTGGATTTTCCATCACTATCTGTCATCCAATGATGATTTCTACAAGTCCCAGCACTACACCACTTCACCATCTTCAAAGTATTGTAACTAACAAGTAAGTAACACGGCTAAAACCTCTGCCTGGTTGCACCTCGCGTAAAATGGCGGCTCCCGGAAGTACGGTGTCGCCGTCGGCCCAAAACCCGTACAGTACGGTGGGATTTATAAAACGCTACCCTGACGTGTAGCTGCTCTTAGCTTTATTTATTTCTCTGACATGTTCCAATGTTTTACTGTTTATTAAACTTTGGGACAACATTACAACCTTTTTATTCAGCTCATGCTGCTTTGAGGTAGAGCAAAAAAAAAGCCTATTTTCAATATTTCCACCAGATTTGATCATCTTTTATTTAGGTTAAAGTGTATTTAATGTATCCTGATCCCATAATAATAATAATAAGACAATCACAAATAGACAGCAGCCTTTTGCTTGATGTTAGTTTGTGCCGTGCTGTCAAAGGGATGCAGGTGTGACTGTCATTTAATCTCTTTAGTTTTTAAAAAACCAGAACAGTACATCATTTTAAATGATCCTTTAGGGATTGTTTGTCTGAAATGCTGAGAGTTACATTTTGCAATAATACTTCTGCAACCCTGTGTTTAATATGATTAATTCACTTTTTTATTTTTCTCTTGTTTTTCTCTGTAATTAGGAAAATTCTGGAGAAATGGATCTGCTGGAGAAGGACTCCTAACCCCAGCGGATCATCAAGACAGAGCTGCCATCCACCTGGACCCCCCGAGGTGCTGGAGAAGGACTCCTAACCCCAGCGGATCATCAGGACAGAGCTGCATCCACCTGGACCCCCCGTGGTGCTGGAGAAAGCAAAACGGCGATCAGGAGCATCCTCCACCCAGACCTCTGCTTACTGCCGTCCTACAGACTTGTGTCTTACTTTCAGAATTTGATTTTGTATGTGTCCTTTCTTTTAATAGATATTTAACGATTATAGCTTGAGTCTGTCTGATTCCCCAAACAGCTGCTTCTATATACTTGCTGCACATACAATACAAATAAACAACTCCATAAACACACTTTTGCTGATGTGTGTTACTGCTGGTGATGTTAAATAACATGATTGATTTCCTCTGTCTCAATGATGAAAGTTATAATAATAGAAGACATGAAGCTGCAGAGAGAGGATGGATATATTCTTACCTCTACTTTGTGATAAGATGAAAATACAATATTAAATTGTAATTGTTAAACACATTGTTTATTTCATTTACTGAGGTTTCAACCATTATTTACAACATGTGTACATAAGCAGTGGAATAATAGGGTATCTCTAGGTCATTAAACTGTCTTCAGTTTAATTTAATTAATACAAAAAAAAGGTCATAGAAAATGTTTAATTGTGTATTTCAGCAGAGCAGGGGGTCACGGTGCTGCTGGACCTGGAGGCAGGCCCGGACTGGCCATCGGGAGGACCGGGAGGTTTCCCGATGGCCTGGCCTGCTAAGTGGCCTGCTGGCCTGAGGACTTTTTTTTTTTATGTAGGCCTATGTATTGTGAATGCAACGCTGCGCAAATCTGACTCTGCCTCACAGAGGGTGACTGGCTGTCTACATGATGTGGCCTGCCGACATGGCCACTTTCATACAGATCATACTAATGCCCTCGATTGGTCTCTGTGTGTCATTCAAGCTCAGGAGGGTGTGTGTTATGTGTGACGCGAGCGAGTGAGATAAAGCATGCGCACCGGTTACGTGTATTGTTGTTGTTGTTAGTATCTGGTGCTAGCTAGCTGCGCTAACGGATATAAGGAGCTTTTTCAACAACAAGGTGGAGGAGATTCCTCTGCTGTCAGACTGAGAGACTGATAACTACAGCTCAGGTGAGGTAAAGGACTCTGAGTGTTTAGATAGTTAACTTAGTCTAAGTTATCCCAGTGGGTCTCAAACGGTTTGGTCACCATTTATGTAAACACATATTTCCATTTGAGGGGGGAGTGATTAGTAAAATATGCATGAATACAACAAAAAAACGTTAACTAGGTGAAAAAAGGTAAGATAAACTATTAAAACTTGTTGAGAGCTAAAACTAGTCTTTGCTTCTGCCTCAAAGAGGAGCAGGAGGGAGAGGGGGGAGACAGGAGAGGCTGGTTCAGGAGCACAGACACACTCACAACTATAAATGAACCAAAAACAAATAAATAAACAAGTTTCAATGTTTTTCCATATTGGGTATGTTATTGGTTATGGCCATGTTCTTATGATTTTATGATTATTTAAATGTATTCAGTTATGTTTCATATGATATGGGTGTAGTCTCTTTATTTCCTCCTCAAAGTGCACCAGATTGATGCATTTAAGTCCAACATTAAAAAAAAATCTTACCGGGGGAGCATGCCCCCGGACCCCCCTATAGGAGTTGAGGTCCACCCCCACTTAAAATATGTTCACATAGGTTCCTAAATAGATTTTTTTTAAATAGTAACCCATGTCCATATGTTTATTTTTGGGTAGTAGATTTAGAGGGCTATCACTACGGGCAGCAACGCTGTAAATATTGATAAATAAATCCAGCAAAATGGCACAAAAAACTGGTAGTGGCCTGACTGGGTGTATAATTCCCGGCCTGACTTATTGTCCCAGTCCGGCCCTGCCTGGAGGTGCTGACCTGGTGTCAGTGGGACATCATCTGGGCAGGGTTAGGGGAAGAAGGAGAATATAAACTGTTATAATCACAGCTATTAAGATTAGAACACTACTATTGTTGACAAACAATCTATACAACATGCTTTTGTTCATTTAAAAAAACATTGTTTTATTAGTACAGAAAAAATAAGACTTATTTTAAATATGAAATAATATGATTAAATTACATCAGCTATATATAATTTGTTAACTTACTGATGTAACATTACTGGGGGCTAAAGGAACAGCTTCATCGTATTTACCTGGCCATGGTCCTCTTTAATTCATCGCCGACGGTGATCTCCAAAAAAATGTAAAAGTAAAGTTTCTGGATCCTTTTGCTAGCAGGTTGCTGGAGCAGCGCAACCGAACAGCGCGTATCACGTGACGTAAATACGAAGCCCTCTGTAGGCTAGACCGTCTCATTTCGTAGGCCGCTCAGTCCAGCCTACCCGGTCTACGTGGGCTGGGTCCTCCGTGGACCGTGTAGGCTGCGTACCCCGAAGGATACAACCCCTGAATTGAGACACGGCCTCTAACCGCCTGCTGCTTCCCCTCTTCTCTCCTCGGTTCCCCTCCTCGGCTCCTCGGCTCGCATCTCCTGTGGGCGGGACTAAGTCTCGAGGATAGGAGTCGAGGAGGGAGGAGCCTAGGGCTCTGGTGTGGATGTGGAATCAATGACTGGATGTGTCAGAACTTTCTCCAATTAAACAAAGATAAAACTGAGGTAATGGTTTTTGTAGCCAAGGCAGAACGTATAAAAGTTAGCGCTGAGCTTCAGTCTGCAATGTTAAAAACAACAGATAAAGCCAGAAATCTAAGTGTAGTCACTGTAAAACCTAACATCGTGTTAAATAAGAATTAATAAGTAAGCCTTACTTATGTTTTTATTAACTTGTTAATAACACTCAGTTTAAATAATTAAGCTGTAATGCGGGGTCGAAAAACCTAACTAACTCAATGTAATTGATGTGAGCTAATTTAGAAAAACTAAGTTAGTGGAAATGGGGAACATTATGACATGCGCAGATCACTCCTTGACCACTTGGCGCTCAAAGTTACTTTCTGGAACTTTCTGGAACCAGCGCCATATAGGATTCTATCTATATGGCGCTGTCTGGAACATTTACGAACATGCCCTGCAGCAGATGGACGTTTCCCCAATGGCTAGCCGCTATGGTAATTGTCATTGTTGCATTACAGTGAATCTTGTGCTTAGCACACTGCTTTGGTGAGTACATATTAACATCCAAACAGTTTTGCTGTCTTGTTGTATTTAATCTCAAGGTGTATATGCTTGCTAGTTAAGATAACATTAGCTAACGTTAGCTAATGTTAGCTAATGCTATCTTAACTATTGCAGACATAATGTGTCGAAATCGTGTTGCAGCTTGGCCCAGGAGATAGTCTTAAGAGTATCAACATTTAATATACGGAGATAGACAAGGGCTGACTTGATTTATCTGCATAAACGTTTTTAAGTACTTTTTGTATGAGTTGAGGTTCTGTTTAGAACGCATTGAACAAAGACTAGCACGTGAGTAACTTCATTATTAATGTCAGTGTTTTAGCCTAATGCCGTGACTTGTGGCTGTGTTCAGTTTTATATATTAGCCTACTACAACAAAGTATAAAGTTACACTTCACAACGTGTGAGCGCCAATCAGTATATATACTCCAAGTGGGTTGCGGTGCGGGATCGGGAGCTTGAGGAGGGACTCTCCCGCTAGGGGCGGTGTTCCGGATTAACTGGTTCCCCGATCAACTGGTTGACCAGTGGCGAGCCGTCAGGGCCCTCTGTGAGGGCCTAAGATATTCTAAAAAATAATATTTTTGAAAACGTTTTTTTTTTTTTAAATATACATTTTTAGTATATTTTTGTTACATTTTTCATTAGTTTTACCAAAATAACTTGATTTAATTGTATTTAAAATAATATTTCCAAAGAAATAAATCCTTCGAATCTGCCTGTTCAATTTCTGTTGGAATGTGAAGGGTTAAATGCCGTCTCTGCGAGTTATGTGAAGACGGGAGGGCTTGTTGGTCCCTCTGTAGATTCACAGAGGGCCAGCTATAGTAACTCAACGAGAGAGTAATGTCAAATGACAGTACAATTGACCAATCATATCTTCCCTCTAAATGGGCGGGCTTTATTTTCACGGACTTTATGACAAGTTCCGCCCGCTGTGAGGTCTATGCAAGTGGTGCAGTGACGCATCCTAAAACCCGGAAGTAAGCTTCGCTCGGATTCCCTCAACAGAAAGCGGGTTTTGGAAAATAGCTGGAAATAAGGTCTGTGGAAAACGAACCTGTTAGATAAATGCACGTTTTTTTCAGCCGGATAATATCCACATGTCTACCCTACTTTTATTATTTTCGAATCATAAATCTAATCGATAGATTTATGATCGATAGATTTATGATTAGCATAAGTTCGTTCATGATGATGGCTCACTTCAGTGATAGTGA